TCTTTTTTTAAATTTTATTTATTTATTTATTTTTTGGCTGTGCTGGGTCTTTGTTGCTGTGCTCGAGTGGGGGCTACTCTTCGTTCTGGTGTGCGGGTTTCTCACTGCGGTGGCTTCTCTTGCTGCAGAGCCTGGGCTCTAGGCACGAGGGCTTCAGTAGTTGTGGCACACGGGCTCTAGAGCACAGGCTCAGTAGTTGTGGTGCACAGGCTTATTTGCTCCGCGGCATGTGGGATCTTCCCGGATCAGGGCTCGAACCCGTGTCCCCTGCATTGGCAGGAGGATTTTTAACCACTGCACCACCAGGGAAGCCCTCAAAATTATTTTCATAATAATACGACCATGTGTATACAGTGGACTTTTTGAGCAGTTACAGGATTTGCTATACTGTATAATAAAATGTGTCAATATTTGGATGATCTGCATAACTCAGCTAACCAATACTTTATAAATGACCAATACCTAGGTTTCAAAATCATGCATGGGGGCTATATACTATATGATTCCAACTATATGACACTCTGGAAAAGGCAAAACTATGGAGACAATAAAAAGACCAGTGGTTGCCAGGAGTAAGAAGGGAGGAAGGGGGCTTCCCTGGTGGCACAGTGGTTGAGAGTTAAAAAATGGGAGATTTCACATAAAAATCCAGATTTCCGGCTTCTCTTTAAGAAATGGGAGGATCCGGTAAAATGGCCCCAAATTCCTGCCCGGAGACAATGGCTGGAGCAGTGATGGCTTGCCCCCTTCCCACCAGCATGCCTCTCCATCTGCACAGGGCCTTCCACTCCCAGGGAGTGGGCAGGGGGGCAACGGAAGCTGTGCTGGTCTTGTTAGTTTGCTGGTATAGTAGTGTTCAGGGAAATATAAACTATTTCTTGTACCTTCTCTTTCTATCAAAAATGGAGAGCCAAAAAAAAAAAAAAAAAATGGAGGGAGGAAGGGATAAATAGGCAGAGCACAGACGATTTTTAGGGCAGTGAAACTATTCTGTATGAAACTATAATGGTAAATACATGTCATTACACATTTGTCAAACCGTAACGTAACCTATGGACTTTGAGTGATAATGATGTGTCAATGTAGGGTCGTCAATTGTAACAAATGTACCACTGGGGAAGGATGCTGATAGTGGAAGAGACTATGCAAGTCGGAGGCAGGGAGTATACAGGAACTCTCTATACTTTCTTCTCAATTTTGCTATGAATGTAAAACTGCTTTAAACAACAAAAATCTACTAATTAAAAAAATCATGCATGGATAAAGATATTATTTAACCAATGGCTCTTAACTGATACACCTATGGCTCTCAGTGAAAGAGTATGAAAAAAGTCATTGATATGATTTCAGATACCACACTATTATTAACCTTTAAGAAACTCCCTCTTCGTGAATTTTAGAATAATGTCAAAGAAGAATACCCCCAAAACATGGAAAAGCTTTTAAAATAGTCTCCCTTTTCCACCTATAAATCTGTGTAAAACCAGACTTTACTTCAGATACTACAACCAAAATACCTTATCACAACAGATTGAATGTAGAAGCAAATACAAGGATCTAGCAGTCACCTATTAAGCCAGACAATAAAAAGGCTTTTAAAAAATGTAAAACAATGCCAATCCTCTCAAATGTTTATTTTGGGGAAACAGCTATTTTTCCATAAAAAATTTTCTTTATATTAACACATAATGAGCCTAACATTGTTATTTTTCAATAAATTAACAAATATTTGAAAATGTCTCCATTTTAATTCCTAATATGGTAGAATCAATACATATAACCCATATAAACAAAAAGCTCTTTGAGGGCCTCAATTTTTAAGAGTGTAAAGGGTTCCTAAGACCAAAGTATTCATAACTGCTGTACAAGAAGAAAATATAGAAGACTTTTTAATAACCTCAGAGTGAAGGAACTGTATGTATGGCACAAAACCCAAAAGTCATAATGGTAGAGATTGATCAATTTAACTACATTAAAATAAACTGCCACATGGAAAAATATTCCAGGAGCAGAATCAAAACACAAACTGTGAAAACAACATCTGAAACTCATCGCTTATATTAGTCTAATTTCTCTAATGTCTAAGTGGCTCCTACACATTAATACAAAAAAGGCTAACTACTCTCCCCCAAAATGAACAAAGAATATAAACCAAAAAAACACAGAAAAGGAAGTATAAATGGCTCTTAAATAAAAAGATATTCAACCTTTCTCAAGATAAATGCAAATGAAAACATCACCAAGATGCCTTTTTTTAACCTACAACTGGATATGATCAACTGTTGTCAGGGTCATCCACGTATCCTGATGATATAAGTATAAATTTGTACAGCCTCCACGGAGACAAAGAGTTAGCAACGTAATTTTATATCCTGCTTATTGTGAGCAATAAGCATTCTCCTATATTATTAAAAATTCCTGGTAGGGGAAAGGGGGAATTGGAGGAATGTGGTCAAAAGGTACAAATTTCCAGTTATAAGATAAATAAGTACTATGGATGTAATGTACAACATGATGACTATAGTTAATACTGCTACATTATACACAGGAAAGTTTTAAAGACAATCAATCCTAAGTGTTCTCATCACAAGGAGAATTTTTTTTTTCCTTTATTCTCTCTTTTCTATTTATTGTATCTACATGAGAAGATGGATGTTAGCTGAACCTACTGTGGTAATCATTTCACAATATAAGTAAACGAAACCATCATGTAGCACGTCTTAAATTTATACAGTGATATATGTCAATTATTTCTCAGTGAAACGGAAAAAAATCGTATATTAAAGAAAAATTCCCCATATGTATGGGAGGTCATTACTTTGTTTTTTTTTTTTTTTTTTTTTTTTGACTGCGCCACGCGGCTTGCAGGATCTTAGTTCCCCAACCAGGGATTGAACCCGGTCCCTCAGCAGTGAAAGTGCAGAGTCCTAACCACTGGACTGCCAGGGAATTCCCCTACCTTTACTTTTATGTTTGAAGTTCTTCATAACACCATGATTTTTAAAAATTTACATATAAAAATTAATGTTCATATCATATCCAATGTTATGAATATATATTAAATGTACTTAACCATTTTCCAGCTGTTGGGCCTTCAAGTTATTTTCAGCTAAATTAACAGTCAATAAACACAGCTGCAATCAATAGCTCCATTCAGATATTTTGGTCCACATTTCATATTTCTTCTTTAGAGTAGATTCCTTAAATTACTGAGTCTATATACATTTAAAGTTGTAGTATGTGTTATATTTTGTATAGGTCATACCAATATATAATCCTATCAACAGGATACCCATTACAACAAAAATATTGCTAACCCAACAGCAAAAAATATAATTTCATTTCAATAACGTTAAACATTTTTTCGAATGTTTATACTATTCTTTTGAGAATATGTTTTTGTTCAAACTTCCTCTCCATTATCCATCTATCTGAAGGCAGCAGAGTTTTAGTGTTTTTCTTACTTATCTTTTGAACTCCTGGTAGTTTAAGGATGTTAATTCTTTCCCTCAGTTTATTATTTCTCTGAAAAAGACCATTTTGATTTAATAAAAGCAAGAAAGAGGGCTTCCCTGGTGGCGCAGTGGTTGAGAGTCCGCCTGCCAATGCAGGGGACACGGGTTCGTGCCCCGGTCCGGGAGGATCCCACATGCCATGGAGTGGCTGGGCCCGTGAGCCATGGCCGCTGAGCCTGCGCGTCTGGAGCCTGTGCTCCGCAACAGGAGAGGCCACAACAGTGAGAGGCCCCAGTACCGCAAAAAAAAAAAAAAAAAAGCAAGAGGAGGGACTTCCCTGGTGTTCCAGTGGTAAAGAATCTGCCTTCCAATGCAGGGGACACAGGTTCAATCCCTGGTCAGGGAACTAAGATCCCACACGCTGCGGGGCAACTAAGCCTGCACGCCATAACTGCTGAGCTCGCGCATCTCAACGAGAGAGGCCACGTGCCACAAACTAAAGAGCCCACCCACTGCTCTGGAGCCCGCGCCATAACTAGAAAGAAGCCTGTATGCCATAATGAAAGATCCTGCATGCCGCAACTAAGACCCGATGCAGCCGAAAAGAAAAAAAACAACAACAAAAACCTGGGGCTTCTTAAAAAAGAAACAAAGCAAGAAAGAGGAGGCAAGTAATAATATCATTGTAAGACTTGAGTTAGAATGATTATTTAGAAAACACCAGATTCTGTTCAACTTGCCTTAATCCTTGATTTTTAAAAATTAGTATTGGAATAATTTCTAAATTTTCTTATGTTACTCATTCCTCTGATTTTTAGAATAATCTTACATTTTAGTTTGTAGCATAAAAATATTATGCTGAAGTCAAATTCAGTTGATAGTTTACAAACTATCTCGATACATATTGAGACAATAAGTTGAAACAGAGGTTTGCAGCATATATGACTTAGAAATAAAAGGGAATAACTGAAGGCTAATTCTAACAAAATTCTATTCCCAAAGACAGATTCAAATTGTTCTACTCTGGGGGACTTCCCTGGTGGTCCAGTGGGTAGGACTCGAAGCTCCCAGTGCAACGGGCCCAGGTTCGATCCCTGATTGGGGAACTAGATCCTGCACGCATGCCGCAACAAAGACGACCTAAGACCCAGCGTAGCCTAAAGAAATAAATATCAAATTATTCTACTCTGGAACTATGAGGGCTGCTCTGTCCAGATTCTGAAGGGCATGCTGATCAGTATTTATGTAAAAGGTTTTAAATAAATCCTTGTATGTTTTGTTACTTGAGTAACAAAATTATTATTATTATTTATATTATTATTATTATTTAATAATAATATTAAAATATTATTTCCCTTTGGGGCCATTATCAGAAATAAAAGTCAATTCAAAATAATAAGATAAATATGAACATACATAAGTACTTCATCAGGCAAACTGAAAATCTGTAACGTCATTAAAAAGGAGTAGGTCAATCTGGTAAATAAAGCAGAAAAGGACTAAATAGAACCAAGAGAAGAAAGACAAAACAGGACAATAATTTACCTCCCACCAAGTCCTTCAATTCGTTCTCTTTCCTTGGGAAGTTCTGGCTTATGGTCCTGTGTCACCTCCACAGCTCTGATAAAATCATCCTTTGGGTCATCCTGAATTCCAAGAACCACCCCTGAGTCACCCACATGAGCTACATACATCTTCAGGCCCCGTATGATGACCACACTGGCAGTTGTCCCTGACGTGCTGGGAAGACCTGTCATAGTCTTTGGCCATTCTGCTGTAATAAAAAATAAAACATTTTACTCTTTCAGGTGTATACATTAATCCTGTGGCAGAATAAAAATGCCAACATATTGTGAATTAGCATGTTAAAATTTGAATTAGGATAGGAAAATATTTAAGAAAAATATTTTGAAAGCTATTAAAGAAGGACTTGTATTAATCCCTTCATTCACATATTAATAAATTAATTTTATAAATAATGCAATTATATTATGACCATCAAGCCGATCCTAGGAGAAAAATGTTACAGCATAGATTTACTAATTCCACATAAGTCTTAGTCTTAATTACATTTAGTGGCAAGGATATGTTAAAAGTTTTGATACCATACTGCTAGCAGCTTATTATCTGTTTATTAATTTCACTTCAAGAAGATTTTCAGAAAAAGTTACTGGATTTGTTTTTGAAACAACTGTTGAATATTCATAATCTAATAAATAACATTTATTGAGCACTTACTGGATACCACTTTCTGTGCAAAGAGCTTTACATGTATTGTATTATCTCATATAATACTAATAAACCTAAGTGATAGGTAAGATTAGTTCCATTATTTTCATTTTGCAGATGAGGAAACCAAAACTTTGAATGGTTAAGAAATTTGCTCAAAATAACTCAAGTATTTTAAGTGGCAAAGATCCCATATACCTAATTCCAAAACCTATACTGACTGATTATATTCACTATCATTTAAAATTCTGAAATATTCTGTAATATTAAACTACAAGTTACAGTTCGAGACAGCAAACTATGTCCAAACACTGACATATTCTCCCCACCAAAATCCTACTTAAAGGACAGAATATAAATATTAGAAAAAGTCCAGAGCAGTCATGAAACACAGAGAAGGGTCATAAGAAAATCTGAGGAATTCCTGGAATTTTAAACAAATGGAATTATATTGAGGGAAAAATCAGAATGCAAAATTTGTAATCCAACATAAGGAAAAAGCACAGTCAGTAAAGGAGGCAGTACATCAGTATTCCCCATTAACAGAGTTCCAGAAAAGTTCAAACTCAGAGGCAGTGGCAAAGGCTGAAGTCAGGAATGGATGCTAGAAGTTTGGCAGATTCATTTAAAACTGCAGGAGCTAGGTCAGTGCCTAAACTCCCTGCATGGTAAAAGGTGAAACATTTAAGTTCCTAAGATGCCAGTAACTATAATACCTTTCTTTTAAGAAAAGTGGTGCATCAGCTGATAGGGACAACAGGGTCTCAAAGGGGATGTGGTAGAAGAAATAAGCCCCCTCCCCAAATGGACGGGTGCCACACAACTTTTATAGCCACAAGCCTTCTCTAATATATTTGGGCTAACTAGTTCTTTTCTTTTCCAATATTATATATGCTGAAAAGCCATCTCTTGAACACTACACTGCATCTCCCCATCCCATCCCATCCCACAGATGGAACCCACCCTCCAGAGTGACCTGTCACTCACAACAGAGGGTTGCTTGCAGTATACGAAATAATGACCTTCACAAATGCTAAGGGAAACCAGAACAGCTACCAATATTGATGAAGCTAGAAATTCACACACACAGGCATATACACATGTAAAACTATCAGCAACAGCACCAGACACATAGTTAGTGCTCAATAAACATTAGTTTATTTAAGAAAAGCAACCAGCCTGAGAAGCACCAAGTGGAGTTGCCAAAAAAAAAAAAGGCCCTAAAGAAAACATTTGTGGATAGATTACTGGCATTGATAAAGTTCAATAAGGCTACTGGATATAAGTAGTTACATAGAATATGAATTCTATTTTTGTAAAACAGCAACAAAAAATTACAAAATGTAACTTAAAAAAAAAAATCCCATTCACAATAACAGCGAAAGGTGTGATATATCTGCCAACAATGCTAACAAATCTCTAATAAGACCTGTATGGAAAAGTTGTAAGCCAGTGAACAAACACAACAGTGAGCACAGAGATAGATCCATGCATATTCAGACACTTGATATATGAACAGTGGAGAAAGGACAGTCAATAAATGGAACTGGGATCAAATTTTAAAAAAACAACAACAACAACTTTGGGTCCCTGATGCCAAACACACACGCACACACAAAATCAATTCCAGGTACATTAAAGACCTAACGTGAAAAGCAAAGCTAAAATGCTTAGATAATGCACAAGGAAGTACATTTACGATCTCAAGGTGGGGAAGGATTTCCGAAAGACAAAGAATGGACTAGCCATGTAAGAAAATGATTGTGAAGTTGTACTACCATCAAAATTAAGAATTTCTGTTCATCAAAAGATATGATTACTAGAGTGAAAAGACAACTCACAGAATGGAAGAGGATATATTTGTAATATATACACACCAAAAGAATGGTATCCAGAATATATAAAATGCTAAAACAAATCAAATCAAGAAGACTACTCAATAGAAAAACGGATAAAGGACCTGAACAGGCTTTTACAAATGAGGAAATCCAAAGAGCCAAAAAGCATGCAGAGGTGTTTGGCTTCTTTAATCATCACGGAAATACAAATTAAAAGCCATAATGAGGACTTCACTGGTGGCACAGTGGTTAAGAATCCGCCTGCCAATGGAGGGGACATGGGTTCGAGCCCTGGTCCAGGAAGATCCCACATGCCGCAGAGCAACTAAACCCGTGTGCCACAACTACTGAACCTGCGCTCTAAAGCCCGTGAGCCTCAACTACTGAAGCCCGCGAGCCACAACTACTGAAGCCCACGCGCCTAGAGCCCGTGCTCTGCAGCAAGGGAAGCCACCACAATGAGAAACCTGCGCACCACAATGAAGAGTAGCCCCTGCTCGCCGCAACTAGAGAAAAGCCCGTGCTCAGCAATGAAGACCCAATGCAGCCATAAATAAATAAATAACTCAATAAATAAATAAATAAAAGCCACAATGAGATACCACAACATAATTATCAGATTGCTGCATAAATTAAATTTGACAAGAGTTTAGTTAAGAATGTGGAGTAACATGTTCTATCATCAACTACTGTTAGGAGTATAAACTGGTACAACTACTTTAGAAAACATCTAGGCATTATATGGTAAAGGTGAAGATATGTATACTCTTGACTACTTACTACCCATTGGTATACAGCATAAATTTATGACACACAATACATATGAATGTTCACACCAGCACTGTTCATATGGGCTAAAAACGGGCAACAGCTCAAATGTCCTTCAACATAACAACAGACTATACTACCTATAATGGGTGAGAATCTTACAAGAAGGATGAGATAAAAGGATACATTCAGCATGATTTTCTTCGGGAAAAAAAAAACTATCATGTTTACAGACAAGAGGTAAAACTATTAAGAAAAATAAGTAAATCACTACAGACCTATAATCACAAAAGTCAAGCTTGTGGTTGCCTCTTGGGGGAAGACAGAAATATGAGATCAGAAAGGGCATACAGGGGCTTCTGGTGTACAGGCAATGTTCTCTTTTGTAACTGGATGGTATTCATTTTATGATTATTTATTAAAGTGTACATTTATGTTTTATGGCCTTTTATGTATGCATGCTATGTTATATTTCACACGTTTTTTAAGTTAAAAGAAAAACAAGCAGCAGGAAGAAGGCTTCAATTTTGCAAACATAGATCACAGCAGACAGCTCCCTAGCCCATGCAGTTTTGCAGTCTGGTTTACAGACGTCATTTCCAGAAGCCCAGCATAGAGTATGGTGTATGCTTCTTTAGCCCTTTCAATTATTTTATGGGTTAACTGTAGCTCTTGCTAAAACATTTTCTTTTTTCCTTTTCTTTTTAAAAAAAAAAAACTAGAAAACATTGTTTTCTGCAGCTAAGAACCTGAAAAAAAAATCTATTATCATAATAAATGCAAACGAGGTGAACTCCCAGAAACAAGGGTTCTTAACCGCATTCAGAAAATAAAATTTACCTACAGCATACAAGTAATTTAGCTGTTTGCAAAAAGCACCTAAAACGAGATGAAAAAAGGAGAAAAAGAGATAAAAATAAAAAGGATATTCAAAGCAATGTTAATATTTAAATCACATTTTTTTCAAAAGCACTAACATATTATGAAAGAAATTCCACAATGATCTAAAAATACTGAATAATCCATGCTTTCCCTATTCATTTGAAATGCCACCTTTTATCATATGTTACATTTTGCCTCAGATCTATTTCTGGATTCATCCTACTAATCTATTTATGGTGCTTTTTAATAATAGGGAGTTTAAGTATTCTTCTTTTTCAATATTCTTTTAAGTATTTTTCCATACGAACTTCAGAAGCAACTTGTAAAATTAAAAAACAAAACCTGTGGAGGTTCTGATTGAAACTGCAATAAATTTATATATTAAGGAACCTACCTCTTTAATTTGTCTTCCTTAGTTAGCCTTCCTTGTTTTCTACTTTACATTTTAATCTTTTAATTTAAAAAAAATGACTTAAAACTAGGAGCATATTAAAAAGACAGTATCAGATAGTATATGAACTCTGACATAAGTATCCTTTAGGAAATGGTGCATAAGTCATTAAAACAAAGACTAGGGGACTTCCCTGGTGGCACAGTGGTTAAGGATCTGCCTGCCAATGCATGGGACACAGGTTCGTGCCCTGGTCTGGGAAGATCCCACATGCCTCGGAGCAACTAAGCCCGTGCACCACAACTACTGAGACTGCATTCTAGAGCATGCGAACCACAACTACTGAATCCTGCATGCCTAGATCTCGTGCTCCGCAACAAGAGAAGCCACTGCAATGAGAAGCCTGCACACCCCAACAAAGAGTAGTCCTCTCTCGCCACAACTAGAAAAATCCTGTGGGCAGCAATGAAGACCCAGTGCAGCCAAAAATAAATAAATAAAATAAATTTTAAAAATTCATTGTTATAAAAAAAAGTGATTTGGTTTTATATATATATATATATATATATATATATATTTTTCCCCCCCTTTGGCCACACCACACGGCATGTGGCATCTTAGTTCCCCCATCAGGGATTGAACCGGTGCCCCCTGCAATGGAAGCAT